TTATAAGGTCATCGTTGAAGTACAATCGACAATTAAAGTCATTTTTGAAAACGTTAGCGAAACACATGATTACATATGAATTGCTATAATTAGTAACACATATACAAGAGGCAGAACCGCAACACAAATTGAAAACAAAAATGGATTGGGATTTTCATCGAAGAAAATACAATACGGTACTGCTAAAATTGCTAGAATAAAGAGAATTTTAATAAAATTCATCTTAAGATATTTTATTTTCATAGAAAAAGAGAATAGAGTGACATGATTTGGTGTGAGTTGTTTGAGTGAATGGATGAGTGTATTTCATAGAATAAAATTTACTATTCCTACCCTTTAGGAATGAGCCCAAATTTGATTTTTTTTTAATATAGTCCTTGAAATTTATTTTTTTTAAATTATAAATAATTTTATCAATTTATATTATAAAACTATACATACAAAAATAATTAATCAAAACGAATTATTAATTATTTTGTAAATTAATTGATCATATTATATAATTAATTAATTATTAAAAAATCAAATAATTTATAATTGATGTATCATTATATAAAAAAAAAATTGGGAGAATCACCGTAAAATACCTGTACTTTTTCATGGTCTCAATTTAATACATGTACTTTTTTAATTACTGAATAATACCTGTACAATTGGTTTTTCTCCAAATAAATCCTATACTTTTAAATTATTGGCCAAAAAATATCTACCGTCAAATAACCGCCACGTAGACAAACAGAAATCCTACGTGGCGGCGAAATTCTCAACCTCTCTCCTAATCATCGCGTCATGTCATCGCCACATCAGAAATTAAATAAAAAATAAATAATTAATAAATAATTAATAAATTAATTAATAATAATAATTAATTAAATAATTAAAAATCATAAAATAAATAATAAATATATATATATACACATACATACATATATGCATATATACATACGTATATAAATATATACATACACATATATATATATATATACATACATATAAACACACACACATATATATACCATATATAAATATATATATATATACATACATATAAATATACATATACATACACATATACACATACACATATATATACACATGTTTATATACATACATATAAATACACACATATATATATTAATACATATATATAAACGTATATATATACATACATACATATACATTCGCTTATATATACATATACATTATACATACACATATATATATACATATATACATATGCATACACACATATATATAGATATACATGCATATACAACACATACACATATATATATACAACACATACATATACATATATATATATATAAATATATATATACATACATTTATATATTTATATGTATGTATATATATATATAGCATGTATATGTATATATATTATTTATATATGTATGTGTATGTGTTGTATATGTATGTATATATATGTATGTGTATGTGTTGTATATGCATGTATATCTATATATATATGTATATATACATACGTATATAAATATATACATACACATATATACATATATATACATACATATAAATACACACATATATATATACCATATATATATATACATACACATAAATATACATATATATGAATAATAAAAATATACATATATATACACATATATACATACATATATATATATACACATGTACATATATATACGTATATAAATATACACATCCACACATATATATATACATATATATACATACATATCAATACACATACATATATATAAACGTACATATATATATACATACATACATACATATACATTCGCATATATATACATATACATTATACATACGCATATATATACATATATACATATGCATACACACACATATATATATACATACATATACAACACATACACATACATATATAAATAATATATATACATATACATGCTATATATATACATACATATAAATATATAAATATATGTATATATATGTATGTGTATGTGTTGTATATGTATATATATATATATATATGTGTGTATGCATATGTATATATGTATATATATGTGTATGTATAATGTATATGTATATATATGCGAATGTATATGTATATATATATATATATGTATGTTTATATATATGTATTAATATATATGTGTGTGTATATGTATTGATATGTATGTATATATATGTATATATATATATATATGTGTGGATGTGTATATTTATATACATATATATATGTACATGTATATATATATGTGTATGTGTATATGTGTATGTATATGTATATTTTTATTATTCATATATATGTATATTTATGTGTATGTATATATATATTTATATATGGTATATATATGTGTGTTTATATGTATGTATATATATATGTATATATGTGTATGTATGTATTTATATACGTATGTATATATACATATATGTATATATATATGTGTATGTGTATATATATATTTATTATTTATTTTATGATTTTTATTTAATTAATTAATTATTATTATTAAGTAATTTATTTTTTATTTATTTTTTATTTAATTTCTGATGTGGCGATGACATGGCGCAATAATTAGGAGAGAGGTTGAGAATTTCGCCGCCACGTAGGATTTCCGTTTGTCTACGTGGCGGTTATTTGACGGTAGGTATTTTTTGGCCAATAATTTAAAAGTATAGGATTTATTTGGAGAAAAATCAATTGTACATGTATTATTCAATAATTAAAAAAGTACAGATATTAAATTGAGATCAGGAAAAAGTACAGGTATTTTACAGCGATTCTCCCAAAAATTGTAAAACTTTATATGTAAATTTTATTCCTAATATATTATTAGAGTATATTGAAATTTATTTTTGTGTAAATAACTATCAATAAAATTATAAATGATAATATTTTGCGTGGTAAATTTTTTAATTTATATATGTTAGATCTGACTATATATGGCAGTATTGCTGTCCGTAGAAATAAAATAATTCAGACGACATGGTCGCCCATAAGTAATAATGAAATCGCAATAATCTATTAATAAATAAGGCGGTATGGTTGACCAATATTAATAAGGCGGCATAGTCGTCCATGAATAATAATTGAGGCAACATAACCATTCATAAATTAATTATAAAGAATATCGGTATTCATATATATCTTGGGGTTAATTCTAATCAAGGATCAACGAATACATGTATATATCATAAGAACGAAAATATTATTATTAAAGATCAATTATCTTACATTTAGTTGTAGAAGAGCGTTCGTGTTGATAACGTGTTAACTAGAAGAAATATTACGACCCAGATATTAGATCGTTAACAATAAACCGAAAACTATATTTTGGAAGAATGAAGAACAATGTATTTCTAATTCTTTTCTCTCTTGAAAATGTACAAATGGAGGAACCCAAATGACCTATTTATAGAAATCCCGAAGTTACTGCTCATGTATATAGTCGGTGTGAACAGTAACCGTATATATGAACAGTAAATCGGTGTGAACAATAACGGTAAGCTCTATCATAAATATATTTTATTTATAACATGTTTCATATTTTTATGTATTTATCAAATTGTATAATATTTATATCATTTTAAACATTTTTAAAAAATAATATTTGAATTTTTTAATATTATTTTTTAATACATAAGTTAATAATTTATTAACCTAAAATTTATAATATGTCCGGGCCTCCAACATTTGTGGAACATCCTCTTACTAATTGCCTCTTATGGTTATAAATTTTTTAGAGATAAATCCAAAAAATACCTTCAACTATTCCATCTACACTAAAAAAATATTCTATTTAAAATTTATTATAAAAAATATCGACTATTAACTTTGAACAAAAAGACCATAAACTACATAAATTATTTTAAATCAATCTTTCACTTTAAAATTGTTATAAAAATTTATCATCTATCTAAATTATTCAAAAAAACTATTTTTTAAAAAATTTATTATAAAAATATATAAAACTTGAATAAAAAAAATCTATATAAATGATTCAATTCTAAAAATTACAATAAAAATATAATATTTATTTAAATTTATTATATTATGATATTTAAATTTTATATAAATATTATAAATATCAATTCTTATATAATAAATATGTACATAAATATTATATTTAAAATTGAATATATTTTGTTGATTGCAAATATTATATTTAAGTTTTATTATATATTAATATTTAAGGATAGCAAACTATTAATTTGATTTTTCTATAACAATTAATTTTTTTTAGAAATTTTTATAATAATTTTAATAAAATAATTCATCAAATACTTAAAATTATAAAAAAAAATATTCTATTTTAAATAGAAAAATCTATAACCAATAAAATATACTTAATTTATAATATTATACATTAAAATTATCATATTTTATTTTATTTTAAAAAAATTACGTATATTATCTTTTATATTTATAACTAATAAAATATATACAATTTACAACCTCTCAAATATTAATATAAGATAAAATTTTAAATATAATATTTGTATACATATATGTATATATATGTGTATGTATAATATTTATATAAATTTTAAATATGATAGATTTAAATAAATACTATAATTTTATTGTGATTTTTAAAATTGTATAATTTATACATGTTTTTCTATTTAAATTTATTCTATTTAAATTTATAGATTTTTATAATAAAGGTAAAGTATAATATTTTTTTGAATAATTTAAATACATGATTTTTTTCGTTAAAATTAATAGTTGATAATTTTTTATGATAATTAAAATAAAAGATTGATTTTATTCAATGGTCTTTTTTACTCAAAATTAATAGTTGATGATTTTTTATAATTAATTTTAAGCAAAATATTTTTTTGATGTAAATGAGATAGTTAAGATTTTTTTCTTTGAGTTTGTCCCATTTTTTTTTTTATCGAAGAAGAAACGCTAGTCAGATTTTAGATGGGTTTTGACCAAAAGAAAAAGAAAAAAAAAAAGTTTCACGTCATAACTAACTGCATTCGTTTTCAAGACAACTAACTACACATACGTCATAAGAGTCAGATTCTTGTTGTCATCAAAGGTTACAACCTGAGAGAGAAAATGCCGATTTCGGTTCCACATGAAGTAACACACTTATTAAAAGAGCATTCATCCAAGACATGGCCACACAGCTAAACGTTTTCACCCAATTGCAGAACAAAGAAACAAACATCTGAGACAAGAGAAAGAAACCATTATTAGTGTTTACTTGGAGTGGCGCTGTTCAAGCAGAGGTAGTGGCAGCCAGAGCTCCAGCTTCGGTCAGCAGAGGAACCAGCTTCCCCTTCTTGTGCAACCCTTTAGTGGCTGCGGAAGAAAGTATCACATCAAACGGGGATGAGATGAGACGACGAAACAAGAATATCAAAAACCATCTAAGGCTTTGTTATTATTACTGTCGCAGCCACCGATGTGGTTTCCCCCTATGAACACGTTCGGGACGGTGCGCTGTCCAGTCCACTCTGCAAGAGCTGATTGTATTCCGCTCCCATCGCCTGTATTGTTCCACCAACAATCAATGTTCTGTGTGGAGTTTATTTGAATGGCAGAATGGGCAAAGAATGATGCCAAGAGAGACATTTTTTTAAAAAAATATAGGAAGACAACAAGACAAGTGATGAATCCATATCTCATTTTCTCAGAGAAAAAGATATCCATCAACAGAGCCTAAAAATGGGTGAACGAATCAAGTAATAGCGGGAACAAACTACAGGATCCGGGACCAATTTAGGCAGGTCGACAGAACAGAACAATGTCAGGGTACTTGGAATGTTTTGAATATATGAGTATATATGTAAGCGCAGAGATCAATTTGGTAAAATCGAAATGGAGAGAACGAGATTTAGAAGCAAAATTCGTGAGAATTACCTTCCGTGTCGAGCTCAACGGCCTTGAATTTGACACCCACTTCCTGCAGAAGCTTCTTCACATCCACACAGAATGGACAGTACGTCTTGCTGCAATTCAAATTTCGAGGAATTCACGACCGAAAATTACAGCGTTAATCAGATGACAGTAATCTCATGACGATGATTCCAGTTAAGCAAAAGGTGAGATTCGTATATCAATGTACACGTACGTATATACAGATAAACACACACACACACACATCCAATGATACTTTTAACACTGGAAGAAGCATATACAACACCCAACATGTAGATACACATACATAGACGAAAATGGCGAATACAGAGGAGAGAGAGAGAGAGAGAGAGAGAGAGAGAGAGAGAGAGAGAGAGAGAGTCAAAGAGGACCTGAAAACGACAACGGGATTGTTGGCGACGATCTCTTTGGCCTTCTGCATAGCCATTTCGTCCCGATCTGAAACCCTAAGTCCGGCAGAGGAGAGGAGAAAAGCCGAAGCGAATGAAATTGAGGAAAATGTGTGGAGACTCTTCCTTTATATGAGGAAAGGGCAAATCCACCAGATTATTCCCTAACACGTTTTTTTTTTCCATGCAAACGCGTTGTCAACGGTTGCCATAGCTGACCCGAGTCGTCGATTTTATTGGGCCTTAATAGCCAAATTATGGGCCCTATCTATGTGGGCCTTAGTGGGCCTCAATAGCCATCTAATGGGCCCAAAAGAACACGGAACGGCTCCATCTATTTATCTCCTCTCTCTCGTTAACGCCATGAGATCGCAAGCTGAGTTGTCATTTTGCGTACCCTTTCTGTTTCTGTCACCTGTTTTTTTTTTGGGGGGGTCCAGTGTTAATTCCCTCTCCCATGGCGGAGAAAAGAAAAACCATTGTACCACCAAAAACGAAGAAACCCAAAAAAGAAGCTGCATTCTCTCTCCAATGGCGCCATCTCCATTCTTCATCCTCCTCCTCCCCTTTATCATTCTCGTTACGCTGTCAACGCCGTCGAACTCGACGCGTGTCTCTCGTTTCGACGTCATCTCGTGGGGCTGCAACAAGGACACCGTCTCCGACGGAGGGGCTTATCTGACATCTTACAGGATAAACATCGGTAAGATCCGGGATTACATGAGGGATCTCAAGTTCGGGATTCACGAGCACGGAGATCCGCCGCAGAGGATGTATTTATTGTCCCAGTGTATGAGCGATCTGACCATCGAGGAATGCGGCGTGTGCTGGTCACGCGCCACCGATCTCCTCTCTCGATGTTTTCCGGCCACCGGAGGCCGGATTTATCTCGACGGGTGCTTCGTTAGGGCCGAGAATTACAGTTTCTACGACGAGGCTATCACGCGTTACGACAGGAAGGTATTCTATTCTCTCGTTTCCTTAATTAGACTCGATTTTTGTGGGCAAACTAGATTTGTTGCGTATAGCTCATTCGATCATTTCGCTCAAGCTACCAATACTATGATTTCGTCGAAGTTTGAATATTGTGCAACACGTTTTGCCATGGTTTTCACATGCCGGGTGTAATTGTAGTGTAGATATGCGGTAGTGGCAATGAATCGACCTCTCAATTCGGGAACTTGGTGAAGCAAGTGACCAAAGACATCGTTGGGCGAGCTCCGAACAGTCAAGGTTTTGCAGTGAGTCAGAAGGGAGACCACCACCTAACTGCTTATGGGTTGGGGATATGCTGGCGAACACTTGACGAGGATGTCTGCAAATTATGCTTATCAGATGGAGCTTTATCGGTATCTGGTTGCTTGCCTTCCAAGGAAGGTTTTGCCCTGAATTCAGGCTGCTATTTGCGTTACTCCGACTATGCCTTCTTCAGCGATCGTGGCTCCATCGTTTCCATAAGTCAATCTCCCTCTCCCACATCTTTGTCTAAACTCTGTGTGACATTCAAGTTGTGAAGATTTTTTTTTATATATGAGATGCGTATATCTGCAGGTATAGCCGGCCCTTTTGTTGCATATATCATGTTTATTGCCATAGCGTGTGTATTGGCGATTACAACTGGATATTGGTGTGGGAAATGCATCTACATGCATACCAGAGGAAAGAAGCAAAAAGGTAACTTCATGTTGAAAAGGGAGATCTGGCCCATTCCCTTGTTCATTTTCCGAGCTCACTATACTCACAGAAAGAAGAAAAAGTAATGTTATTTATGTACATTCTGTAATACTTGCCCATCTAAGGATAGAGAAGGAGACACGGGCTATATGCGATGACTCGAAATTCATGCGGTTCAAGTACTCGACCCTTCAAAAAGCAACCAGCAACTTCGACGAGACTTGCAAGCTTGGTGTTGGGGGATATGGTGAAGTCTTTAAGGTCGTCTCGCCCTTTTTCTCCTACTCAAGAGGTGTTCAATCATATATAAGAGCATGCTTTCGTAATTTTTTTTTCTTTTGTGATATGGCAGGGAACTCTGCCTGATGGCAGGGAAATTGCGATAAAGCGGTTGCATATCAGTGGAAAAAAGCCACTGGAAAACATCCGCAATGAGATCGATGTCATTAGCAAATGCGAACACAAGAACTTGGTCCGTCTTTTAGGATGCTGCTTCACCAACATGAATAGTTTCATGGTCTATGAATTCCTTGCAAATACAAGCTTGGATCACTTCCTATTTCGTAAGATCCCTTTCGAAATTGCATGTTTTTGCACATGAAATTTCCCACAGGTGCACATGCACGCCCATAGATCATGTATCTGTGCTTTACATTGTCAATGCAGGAGCAGATTTTTGCATTGATCTTGTGGATAGGCGTTATCTGCTTGAACAAAATTCAATAGCAATTTATTAGCTATTATCCATATATTCCGGACCATGTTTATGTATATAACATGATTGTCTGTCTGGAAATCTTAAAACTTTTTTTTTGGTGGGAATATCCCTGCAAGTGAAGACCCAGAGAAGAAGAAAGAGCTCGACTGGAAAAAGAGGCTGACGATAATTTTAGGAGCAGCTGAAGGTTTAGAGCATCTTCATGAAGTGTGCCGGATAATACATCGAGATATCAAAGCAAGCAACATCTTGTTAGACTTGAGATACAAACCCAAGATCTCAGATTTTGGATTAGCCAAGTTTTATCCAGACAGCACCAAGGACATGCCTTCCTCTTCCATCGCCGGGACTCTGTAAGTAGTAACTCTTCGCTACTGCGAAAAAGGGGAAAAAAACATGAAAAGACATCAAATCCTTACTGGCCCTTCCGTTGATTCCATCCATATTCTTGTGTTCTTGGCCTTATTTTTTCTGATAATAATTGAAATGATCTTGGTCTGCAGAGGATATATGGCTCCTGAATACATCAGCAATGGAAGATTAACCACTAAAATCGATGTTTATAGCTTCGGAGTCCTTATTCTGGAGCTGACAAGTGGTGTCCCAAACAACACATTCAGATCAGACAACTCACTGGAAACACTAGTAACCCGGGCAAGTCTCCTTTCTATCATAACCTTCCATATGAATGAGAGTGTCTATGTATGTATGTATGTACAGTGGGGGGGCATGATGACATGGGAATGGTAAAACAGGTGTGGCAATGCTTTAGTTCGGACAAGGTAGAAGAGATGATAGACAAAGGCATGGATGACGATGATGAAGAGGGAGTGGAAAGGATCAAAAGGGTGATACAGATAGGTCTATTGTGCACACAAGAGGCTCCTCATCTTCGTCCTCCCATTTCTAAGGTTTTACAAATGCTTAGAGATCCTCACCTCCAATTGCCTTCCCCTACAAAACCCCCTTTCCTCGACCATACCTTGTAAAATTTATTTTACTTCTTTTTTTTCTCTAGGAAAATGCAAATTTTAAAAACAAGACACATATTTCACTATTTGAACTTTGGGTTCCTCATTACCTTTTTATTGGTAAAGGGTAATCCAATATGGGGTTCGAACTCGGATCAGATAGCATTTTGTGTTTTTACTTATTTATATTAAAAAAGAGGATATTTGGAGGTTTGTTTCGCTATTATATGTGTGTATATATACAAATTAAAAATAATTTTTAATAATTTAAAGGGAGAATCGTCATGTGTAAAAACCTTATGTTTTTTCTCAAATAAATGATTAAACTTTGTAAGTTTTTTTTAAGCAAATAAACCTTTATTTGACCAATAAATTATTGTGCTTTCAAAATTTTTTTTTTTTTTTGATAATCGGGTGATCTCAAACCCAAAGGTTCAGACTAATCCCGACCTACGTACACAAGTGGCATTTTCTTTACACTCTCTCTCTCTGAGTTGCTAAAGAGCATCATCATCATCATCATCATCATCATCATCATCATCATCATCATCATCATCATCATCATCATCATCATCATCATCATCATCATCATGGTGGTTCTCTCCATTCTTCTGTTTGGTTCTAATACTATATGATACCCAAAGGAAAGGAAGCGGTATTTGTATTAGTGCGTGAGGAAAATTCTGACAAACCATAACTATCATATATATGTAATGTCATTTAGAACGATTTTTATCACACAGTGGCGTTTATGCATATTAATTTCAAGGGGTCCACAAATTTTAATAATATAGAACGATTTTATCATATGCCATCAAGGCATGTAATGATTTTTTTTTTTTTTTTGGAATTATGAATTGGCTTTAAAAAAAAAAAAGAGAGAGGGAGACGTTACAAGTCGCTTGCGCATTTAAGCACTTAAGAAGGCTCCAAAACAGAGTTTATCAGCCACAAATTGGAATTAGTGGTTGTGATTTTATATGCCCAAAAACACATATTTTAAAAAAAATAATAATTGCAAAATATTAATCGGACCTAAACACAACGCATTCCAATGCGGGCCTCTTCCCTTTTCACCATCTAATTATTATACTAATAATAAATAAATAAATAAATGGATTAATCAAAAGAGCCTTTTTTGTAGAAATCAGATCTCATTCAGACAATTTTAGTTAAACCGACAACCTTCGCGCTTTTTTTTTTCCCATTTGCGGGGTTCCATTGAACCTTTATGACAAAACATAGAATTAAGAGTTTTTGCCTTTACTACTCGGTACTCATTTACGAACGTCTCTTCCTTCTCTCGTCTCTTTGTTATGCCAAAGATTCCTATCATTGACGCGCCTCCCTTGCGCGTGTTCACCACTCCCCGTTCCTCAATTCCCCGTAACAAGGAAAGTCGCCGATCTGGTTAAATAAGCAAACCATATGAACCAAATGATACATCACAGTAATCTAACTGAATTCGATATAAAAATCGAAATAAACCGAATTTGAATCTAATCGTATAAAAAATAATTAAATTTTTTTAAAAAATTGATATTTTATCAATAAAAACCGAATTCAACTAAAATAAAATCGAGCCAAAATCAATATATAAAATCGAATTTTTATAATTTTTCTAAAATTGAAATATTCAAACTCAAATATAACCTAATTGAATCTGAACCAAAACCCAAAATCTCTCTCCCTGTTATTAGCTAGTTATAACTAGAATAGAAAGAGGTAAACAATTTAGTAATATAATCGACAATTTATTATTATTAACACAAATTTCTCTAAAAGTATGATAATATTATCATTTTTAAAAATATTTAAAATTTATTTAAAATTTATAAAATAATTAGGTACCATATTTTAACAAAATATTATAAAAACAACACTTATATTATAAAATATGAAACGATCATATTTACCGTTGAATACTGAAAAGTTTTTAAAAATTTTAAATATTTATAAAGTTTTCTATGTATAAGAATAAAATAAATTGATTATATAATTTTTTTTAACCCAATAAGATACTTATAATATGATAAGAAAAACAAGAAAAGGAAAAAAAGAGCATCCACACCATAAATCATAATATATATATTATCGTCTAATAATAAGTGTGAAGTATACAACGGAACTGAACATCTCCTCTCCAATAACTTTTAGCTTTAGGGCCTATTTTTTAAGATAAATATTAGTATTAATTCAATCTAATATTTTTAAAATCGTTACTCAGATCAAATGTTTTTTATATACAATTACTATTCATTATATTATTGAATAAATAAATATAATCTTATAAAAATTAATTATGTTATACAGATATATTAATTAAAATTTAATATATAATTGATTTTATAATGCTTAAAATATATCAATAACAATTAAAAGATTTGTTTAAAAATTAAAAATAAATTATATTTATGATAAAAAAAATTTAAATTTATGAATTTTTTATAAAAATTATTATTATTATTATCATTAATACATAAAAGTTATTGATTATAATTAAATAATTTTTAAATTTATTAAATAATTTTATTATTATTTTTATATAATTTATAAAAAATATTATTTAATTTTTTAAATAATAATATTTTTTATTATATAAATTTATAATTTTATATAATGTATATGGTTTCCAAAAAAAAAATTGAGACGGTTCTACATATATAATATATGATACAGACCAATGAGGTAGATATAATTTCCAAAACGGTGCCGTTGCGGTGTTGAAGACGCGCTTGGGGAGGAAGGTGGGACAAAACGCGGTAGACACATCCACTTAATTCACAGCTACAGAAATTGGGTTCCTCTAAGACAGGGCTTAGACTGCTTGAACTTTCGTATGATATTGATGGGCCTAATCAATTGCTTTTTCTATTATGGAAAATAATAATAATAATAATAACTGCTCGTTATTATATTTATGATTTCCTAATACAGCTTATTAAACATAATTCAGTTTTGAAAAAAAAATAATATCTCATAACAATACTCTCTTTTGGATTTTCTTTTTTTTTTAAACAAAAAAAAACATCATGCATTCTCATTTCAGTTACCCAATATATTTGCAATTAATTAAAAAAATTAAATATCTACTAAATTAAATCTTCGTAGATTCAGCTACCCAATATAATAAAGTATGAAAATATGAAATATCTAAAGTTAATGGAATAGTTTCGGACAGGTACGCATGAGTTTTATCTTTTTATATAGCATGCCAGAGGTGTCATGTCAAAATAAACGGCGAGGAGTTTTGGTTCGTAGCTTGGGAACGCTGAGGCGTGTTTTTTGTGGATTTGAGATACCAAAAAAAATCTCCCGAAGTAAAAACGGCACGCAATCCGTTCCCAAGGTCTCGTGATGGTAAGCACCTCCTCCACCATTGCAGTGGCCGACCGCTCTCTTAAGACGCGAATCCCTTGGACTATGGAGAAATGATTTCACCCTTAGTTCAACTCTTATATTATTTTGGTAAATAATATATTGCAAATAAAAAAAAATTAGCATTCATCCTTGGGAGAGACCACGATCCTAATGGAATCGAAAAAAAAATATTTTTTTTAATTTAATTTTACTGTTGTCATTTCCCTATATATATACACATAATAAAGAATGAGTGTTTGTTTGATTTTATAATTTTACAGAGTAATTATATGTATAAAGAATAATATTAATCATATATTTCAAAATATAGACGCCATTTGTCCTAATGTTTAATAGCTTAATATATTTACATGATTGGTGAAGAAAGCACATCTGCCCTTAAAATTGTATATTACCTTATAGAGGTGCTCTTGTTCGACGTACCAACATATACGTGTAAAACATCAAGCATATAATTCGTGTTAAAAGGTGTATATATGTGACCAGAAATCTACATAAATACATTCATAGACAATATACATGAACACACACATACTACTATATGTGACCTGCATGCATGTCTCTCTCTCTCTATATATATATATATATGCATAGATACAAAAATGCATCGAGAGACCCGAATCTATATAAACATATGCATAATTTCACGGTTACATATGTACATCAATACATGCACATATACATAGACATGGATGATAATGCGAAGCCATGCAAGTATGTGTGCGTGGACGTGGAGAGATTCATATAAGAAGATAGTTAGGTCTTGAGGGATGCCATGTGTTTTCATAGATATTATATGGAGAGAGAAAAAAAAAGGAAAGTGATTAAGGAAAATGTGATTTAATTATTTTTATTAAGTTTCCATTAAGATTTGAATTAATGGTTATTAATGACGCAGTAAATATCAACTTATAAGCTCTTTCTATAAAAGCAGCAGCTACCCTCACTCCACACTCAATATCACAATCTATATATCTCTCTCTCTCCTCTTTTCTCTCTCTCTAAAAATATCTTATACATAGATCGACAATATAGTGAATACGTACATATAATATACTAATAATAATATAATAATCTGCAGGGAAAATAAATAAAAATGGAGAGGAGAGGAAGTGGCATTGTTTCGGGAGAGGAGGATGTGAGGAAAGGGCCATGGACGATGGAAGAAGATCTGATTCTAATTAACTACATCACCAACCACGGCGATGGTGTTTGGAACTCTCTTGCCAAAGCCGCAGGTTCATATTACATCTCCGTATTAATATATCATTATACATCTTTATACTATGATTCTATATGCATATATATGATGCATTATGTACTATAATATGAAATATATATATACACACACGTAGAGAGTGTTTAGTTCGACACAACCCTAGCTAGCTTTCTGAATATTTTTAATGAAAGGCTTTTTTTCATCATTTTTCGAAGCATCTTATATACATATATATTATATCTATTGCATACATCATAAAGATACATAGAAATATACACTATATTTTCTATATTAAAAAAAGTAATATTTTGATTTGTTTGTATATATCATGATACTTTAATCTGTTAGATTCAAGCAAAACCCTTTTTTTTCTAGTTATCTCGATTTTTTGGTCGTGGGAGAACACAACCAAAACATAATCTTTCCTCATAAATATAATCAAAATCATTAATTAGGGTTTCTTGATGTTTGGAAAAAACATTAAGATTTAAAAAGTATATATATATGTTCGTATTTATACCCTCCACAAGCAAATGACTACACAACGGCAATATAGAACTCAAGTAACTTTAGCACTGCTTACTGCTTAGATCCAACGAGGGCAACGTATTCTCATCTTGAAAATGCTCCATATATATATAACATATGCACCTTATAATTAATGCTTATATATGTAACGAATTAATTAATTAATAATAATAATAATAATGTTGTATGTATAGGTCTAAAACGCACCGGAAAAAGTTGTCGGCTGCGGTGGCTGAACTATCTCCGCCCCGACTTAAGACGTGGAAACATCACTTCGGAGGAGCAGCTCGTCATCATGGAACTGCATGCAAAGTGGGGAAACAGGTCAGTATTATGACGTTGCATTTGCATATATCCCCGCATACATAAACAGTGTATATATATATATATGCGGATGCATATATGATTTTTGTAACGAGAGAACAGAGGCAAAATCTTCGAACTTTGGATCGTATATATACTTTTGAAGATCGCTCAATCTATTTTTAAAGACAATAAAGTACAAGCAATTAGGTGACTGAGCAAATTGGTGGCCACTAACTTGGGCTGTTCTCAGCCATCAGTTCGGTTTTTTTAACCACGTGCCGAAATTTCGTGGCTACTAAAATTAACCCTCGTGCCGATTCCCAAAAACTCATGGCTACAAATAAAGACTCTCATTTATGTTTTTTTTATTTGATTTTTTCTATCTAAACGTAGACAATGGTACGAGGTAATGAATATGTAATACAAATAATGCTTTAGTTTCGATATAAGAGCGATTTAGTTTGTGGTTTATGGCTAATCACATATGTGCAATTAGGCACAGGCTGCACAGACATGAAAAATAATAGATACCAAAGTCATGTTACACAGTCCTGAAATTATGAAATATCTCCAAACACATTTAGATTCATTAAATAATTTGTTTCATTTGTTGTTAAAATTTCCACATATCAAATATTTTACCCGTCAAGATAATTTGTGTGCATATCTTTTTACAATATCATGAATTATAATGTATAAAATAAATAATATTGCTCTAAATTAAAGTTATTACGTACAAAGCCTTATCATTTTAAAAAAAAAAACAAAGTGATGTAGACATAAACCGTAATGTACTGCCTCTCTACCTTCATCAAATTGGACCTAACCTCGAAATCATGTGTTCATCATTATATACTTAGTTATGTTTTTATATTTGTTTTTATTTTTTAATGATGCAATCATCTCTTAATTAATCATCTTTAGATGGTCGAAAATCGCAAAGCATCTCCCTGGAAGAACAGACAATGAAATCAAGAATTTTTGGAGGACTAGGGTCCAAAAATACATCAAGCAATCCGAAACGACATCAGCCGTTGGATCACAGGGCTCTGAGATCAACGATCAACCGAGCTCGAGCCAAATCTTCAGTGCACAAGAAGCAATGGAGACATACTTTCCAACGACGTCGTATCAGGCAAACATGGAAGTGAATTACGACTCTCCTATGTCGTCGGAATGGCTGATGCCAATGCCGATGCAGATCGATCAGACCGGAGAAAACTATTGGACCATGGATGATATATGGTCCATGCAATTACTTAATGGTAATTAGTTTATTCAAAAAAATTTAATTAAAAATAAAAAAAAGATGGGTCATGTGTTAGGCCTGCTTATACTTTTATTTCAATGTAAAGTGCGTTAGTACTTTACACTAATATGGTTTGTTTCCATGTTTAGTGGTATGCTTAATTTGTGGGGGGATATATTAATATATCTTTGTTCGGTGTTATATATAATTCAGTTTTAATTATATATTGCTTTTTGGATGACTGTGGCATATTGAATTTTTTACTTTATACACATTTTTTTTTGGGAATGTGATTATTAATACTCAATTGAATATATATGTATATATAACTCTAAATTTTTATTGGTGAATGAGAGATTAAATTTTTAAAAAGTGATACGAAATTAAACATAGACCAGTCATTTTTATGGCATGGTTGATATATATATATGTTGAAATCCGGAAGCGAATTTAATGTTAATAAAAATCCATATATACATGTGTACACATGCAATTTGCGTGTATATGTACATGTGGGATGCGTGTACATATCACATGACGTACCACCCATGGGCATGCAGAAACCTAATCCAGCCTATCACCAGAGGACAGGTGTCCCATTGAGGTAAAAGTGTATGGTGTGGTACATCCTTTGTTGACCTTTTTCGACCATATATCCATTTTTGTGCACGGCCATGCAACATGTAGAGCCCGACGTGAGCCTAACACAGAAAACCTAAAACATGAAGATGTAGTTATTAAATTCACTACATGATCCAATTAAAACAATATTCTATCCATATTAATGTTCAATCATATTTTGTTGTTGAAAATATTTTGTCTTTCACATTTTTACATTGATTGAATACCAATTAATTAATATTTATGATTTACGGGTTATTTTACAAAAAAAAAATATATAAAAGAGATATTTATGTCAGCATAGAATGTGTATACATTTGTTATAGTGAGAACCGGAATTTAAATAATTGGAAGAACCGGAAATTTATAGGTGGACGACAGAAGATTAGGTCGAGCATGGCATATGCATTTAAGGTTTACCCAACCTTTTCTTTTTAACTTTAGCAAGGAAGTATGTTTTCCGAACAAATTATGGGTAAGATAAATCAAAGTTCTGTTTTCTCTCCTTTATGCATTGTGTTAATAGATGAAAAGGATAAACACTAATCAAATCAAAGATGACCAAACATTACAATTTACAAATGTTTGTGTGTGTATATATATATACAGTCTATCTGAGCATAATATATGTATATGTATGTATGTATGTATGTATGTATGTATGTATGTATGTATGTATGTATGTACCCCCGCCTATATTATGGTCGTAAAACGATGATTTAGATATCCTATTGAATTGAATATCTAGATATACATGCATATATACATACTCAAAACATCATTTGTTGATTCGTTCTTACATATATTTTGATATGTGTATGTATACCGTATACGTACGTACATGAGTGTGTGTTGAAATGTGAAGTGTTGATCTGGGCTGTTCGTTTCGATATAACCCACGTGATTCTCGTGTAGAAATTGAGGACTCGCCATGTGAATTGTAAAGGAGAATCACATGGGAGTTCGGCCACAAGTGGTTGCAAAAACGTGGAAGAATTGGTCTTATATTTTATTGCTCCTTTCTTCCAATCCAATATAACATCGAAGAACTAGAAACCCCTAAACTCCCATATTGCTTCTACCATATGTGTATATATACATAGACACATATAAAAATTCTAATTTTTATTGTATATAAATTTCACGTAAAAAGTAAAAAATTAATTGTTGTTCGGGAACAGATATAATTGGATCGAAGTTTTGGTGAATTTTTCGATTAAAAAAAAAATAGTTGTGGTTCTAAGGTATTGTTGAATGCTTATTTGAACGAAAAATTTAAGATATATATATATATATATATATATATAATCACACGATGCACGCAACATATACGCGTCAACTCATGGATATACTTATGAACATGTGGTACGTATTGGATCTGGTATTTGTGTATTTTTGTAACTTTATATACTGCATACAATTACTTCACATGAATTTTTCGTCGGCTTTGTTCCATGGATAGAATATCTTTATAAAATTTTGGGACTTTTTTTTTCGGGTAATTGTTTTTAGTGCTTCTGAATTTATGGTCAACTCTAGGGAAAAACATATAGTGTATACATATATAATTTATACATTTATTTTATTTATTATTCTTTCAGTAGTTTTGTCTTTATGGGCCTGTATTCGAGATGCGAAGATTCAAGCCCGTTACAGAAAGGTGATACCTTTTCTTAGTTAGCCGATCTATATATATATATATATGATATTTGTGAAACACAGTGTTTGCTTCTCTATGTTTTTTTTGTTAACGGTGAATCGTATAAATATAAATGGTTTACAATAGGAAAGATCTATGGATAGCATCCCTAAATACAATAGTAGAGTTCATGGTAACAGATTCAAATGAGATTCAAAATTATACTAAAACAATCATAGATATTTAAAATCCTAACCAAAATAGCAAAAACTAAAGTCTGTAAAATCAAGGTAGACTTTGTTAATACAAGAGCGAAGGTTATATTGAGAATCTTAAACTATGGTATCGGTGAAAGAACGAACGCGTAGAATTCGTTGCGCTTCTGCCACTAATTCTTCATATGAATCAAAACAAAATTTTTGACAATGATAGATTGTAGGTGTGGTAAAAACTAAATTGGTGAGTGTAGGCGAAGGTGGTTGGATGTCTTTAACAAGTTCTTCCAAATAAGACGTGTATTTCCTCTGCGGGAAAGTATGAGATGATGATAGGAAAACCTGAGTTTGGAGAGTTTGGGTGGGAGAAAGTGTACTTATGTTACTGGATTAGGATCGAGGGAGATTGTGCTTTTGATGGCAGGGGATGTTGAGGAGGGGTAGTAACAGCCTTGACTATGTTGGGCAGGCCGAGGATAGTAGACTGGTTGGGAGCCGGTGAATTTATACTCGGTTTTGTAAGTTGTGTCTGAGTTAGCTGGCTCATAGAGAGTTGGGCGGGAGCCGGGATTTGGCAGCTCGAGACTTTATGCCCGAACTCGTGACACTGAGTGCATCTGGGAAGGATCCAAGAGTAAGAAACATTAACATGAACCACACCTCCTCTGTCGTCTTCAACTTCCACCACTTCAGGTAAAGGGCCTCCCAGTTGGACCTCAAACTTGACCCTTGATTCACCTATACTCAAGGGGTCAAGTTGCATTCTTTCCGTGTGTAGTGACTCTCCCGATACCACTCGCAATATAGTTGATATCCTACAAAGAATACATCTCGGCAGAATATTTTTTAGGATAATCCAAATAGGGGCAGAGGTGAGTAACGGTTGTCGGAGAGACGACGTAGGAGTCCATTCCGATATAGAGAACATGACATCAGCAACATACCAAATACCGACCTCTAGAACCCACTCCCATGTTGTGAGGTCTGGCACATGGAAGAGGCAGGCAGTATCGCTGATGCATCTAACTAATATTCAGGATTTTTTTTCCCCAGATGGGGTTAAGTGCTTGGTAGATCCTGGAACCGGTAGGAGTTAGTCCGTAGAAATGACCAATAAGTTTATCTGACTAGGCCTTAGAGGCTTCAAAGAGCACATAACCGGGAACTTTGACCCTTGTTTTGCGGTTTTGAAGATCCCTAAACCTGCTTTCTCAACGATGTCTAGGGTTCAAATTTGGGTTTCAGTAGCGGAATAGATATAAACAAAATCCAATCAACATATCCTGCATATATGATAAAGGTAGCGATATACCAACCTATTTCGATCCAGAGACATGTCACAAACGCTGAAATCCAACGTTCTCTACAACTAGTCCACACTCACGGGCTTGCGTCTACTAGAACACGAAATTCTCTTCTAATTTTCTTAACCTAGAATTATGTTTCTCAAGCATAATTATAAAGTGATTAGAGTTTCATTAAATTCATTGGACCTTAATGAGTTTTCTCTTAACTATTAAAAGATATTAAGCCAATTAGCCTTATTAATAAGGCCCATTGGGCCATCTAAACACATCCAATGGATTTCTAATCCGTTTTGCAAACCGATCATGGTCAGAGCACTAAATCCATCACCTTGGGGATACCATCCTTGGAATAAAAAGGTGTGGTGACACGAGAGAGATTTTTGGAAGAGGATTTCAACCTCGGAGCCCATGGAAATGTGGGATTTATCCAAGCAGAAGGAAATAGGGACAACCGGCACAGGAGAGTTTTGACGTTATATCCAATGGTAAGATTTCTCTGAGACATGAGGCATGGAGTGAGAAGCTGGTCCCATGACCGATTTATGGGTTGCAATCCCTGGGCGTCGTGAAGATGCCGGAGGCAGAGGAAGAAACTCATTAATGGAAGGAGGGTGTGCTTGGTCTGGTGGTTCACTTTTGCATCAGTAACATATGATGGTGGCCTAGCATGAGGAGTAACATATGATGGTGGCCTAGCATGAGGAGGTATATCCGGGTTCAAATCAGAGTACCCAAGGGAGGGAGGGTCCAACAGAACTATAGAAGACCTAGCATTGGAAGCCTCAATTAGAGATAGGGACGATGTTAGCATTGGAGGCAAACTCAGATCTAGAAGTGACACGACTACCGGTACCAATTCGGGAGAGGCTTTCGAAGATCCATTCCTCTGCTGACACGGAGAAGCTTTATCTTTCTTTTCTCTGGCCATTTGTTGCAAATTGATGCTCTATGTTGCCTAGTCGGAACTATGGAATCTTGAGAAGCTGCGTTTATTTGTAGGTTCACTACAAAAAAATTCTCGTATAGCTACGGAACTTGCGACGGATAATTCCGTCGCATACAAAATTACGACGGAATACGACGGTTTAGCGACGGAATGCGGGAAAAAATTTTATGTCTCAAAGAGTCGTAAAATCCGTCGAAAATTTGCGACGGAATGCAACGGAGATGTTGCCGTCGCAATAATAAACATTATTTGCGACGGAAATTTCCGTCGCAAATACTAATTTCATTTATTTCGTTATTTTCGATGAAAATTTTCAAATTTTCGCGGTTTTTATTTCGTTTTGCGACGGATGGCGACGGAAATTTCTGTCGCAAATACTAATTTCATTTATTTCGATGAAAATTTTCGAATTTTCGCGGTTTTTATTTCGTTTTGCGACGGATGGCGACGGAAATTTCTGTCGCAAATACTAATT